TCTCTCTCTCTCTCTCTCTCTCTCTCTCTCTCTCAGCAGCTTTCTAATAATATATTTGGCTACTGAAAATCATGAAATTATTAATAAGAATTAATTTTCTTGACACTTTTTAATTTGACTCATGATAACAGTAACAATTTCTACGAAGCAAATGATTCTATATATAAATTGCAACGATGTAATAATATTAAGACTCCCAACATTTTTTTATATATAAAGTAAACTTATAATATATGTTATATACATGTTATATATGTTATATATGTTTATAAGATATCCATAGTGATTCTAGTTTAATGGTGCATGTTTTCTTTTTTATAAAAAAAAATTAATTAAATTTATTAACTGTTCCAGTAAGAATTATTTTGATCACCAATATAAAATATTTAAAAATTACAACGAAACAAAAATAACTATTGAGATAAATCTTATAGCACATTTTATATAAATAACTATCGGAAAACTAAGATATATATACATGTATAAACAAATGTTAGTTGAACTAAAAGAAAGATAAGTAAATATCTTTGAAAAAAGTTATTTTAAATACATTTTTATATTATTTTGTATATGTATATACACAAATAATACTAGAATATTCATAGATAATGAATATTTATTATAGAATGTATAAAGTAAAATCTGTAAAAAAGATAAAAAGATTTAATTTAGATTTAATTTATTATGAGCCAAAAAATTTATACATCTTTTTCTTTTACATTACTTTATTATAATAATAAATCATATAATATTGATGCAAAATTAAACAACTTAAATTTTAACTTACAAAATTAATGTGAAGTTTTATCTATATTCAGTGATGAAATTTATGATCGAAAGTATATTGACAATGATTACTCTATAAAATTATTTTTAACTTTAGCAATAACTCTTAGGACTTACCAATGTCATGATTAAAGTGTTTAATACGTCAATCGAGTATAATATTCTTTTGTTAGATGATGAAAAAATTGCGTTATCATCATGAGTTTGTGCAGAATTATTGCTGTTGAAGAAAAATTCGATTTTCAGGATAAGTGTCCGAAAGTAGTTGATACATTAAAGTTATTCCTCCATATTATTCTTTCAAAATATATATTACTACGACTCGGCGGTAGTGTGAAGACTGATAATTTGAAACGCGATATGATCGATCAACTATATGTTCGTTGTCGTGTGAACTGAACGGATTTTTCAAGTTTTCTTTCACTGAGAAAAATTTCTGATTGGAAATAGAAATTTTTGATTAACCAGAAAATTTTGATTATATTAATCAGAATTTTTTTTATCAATAAAACTAGAATATTCTAAAAGTCAATCAATAATTTTAGTACTATACTTATACTTGATGTAATCATCAGCGAATATTTATTGTTTTTTTAATAATAATCTATTGATTTTCTCACTTTTAGAGATTTTAATTTTTTTTAGATTTTCAATCTGCCAAAATCATGATCTCTAAAAGTAAATCAGTTATTACTGAAAAACAGTAAATATTCGCTGATGATTACCTCAGTTATAAGTGTAACACTAAAATTAGTAATAACTCACACTGATTCACTTTTAGAAAGTAATACATTCAATTAGAAAATTTTAATTTGTTTATTTGGTGGCTATTATAATCAAAATATTGCAAAACTTTTAATATTGAAAAAAACAAATTTTCTATAACTTTATAAAATAACTATAAAATTTACTATTTTTTGCACAAAAAACGATTAAAAGAATAATCGCTTTTTTGCGATAATCTAAGATTAATTTAAGATATAAGACATAATCATTGTAAAGAAATAAGCAATGTACATTAAAGAGCTGCTCAAATTACTCATCAAACCTACAGTGCGATAGTGTAATACAAAGTAAGCATAATAATTTGAAAATTTGAACAATTAATATGACAAACCGTGACAATGTATGCAAAATATATAAGTAATACATATACGACACTTCTTGTCAGACGTAAAAAAAGAAGAAATTCTATAGAGAAACATATTGCGTTCATATTATAGCAAACATTTTCGTAATTAAAAAAAAAGCTTCTTTATTAATGGTTCACAAAATCAAATATTGGCAAGTTTTGTGTGTTTAATCGAGAATAACCATAAAGTAACCAATTGCAACGCTAAAG